AAACGTGGGTTATTTTTCACCAAAAATAACCCACGTTTTTCTAGGGGAGGAATTCGAAAAGGGGGATGTGCGCGTGGGTACCGGAGGGCCCAGTGTCCAGATGTCGATTTCGTTTCGCCGATCTGAATTCTGAGAGGAAAAAAGCTCGGAGCTCGGAGCTTTCCGAGCTTGGAAATATAAGAGTGAAGCCCAGTAGTTAGCGCCTTAGCGCTCCAGTAGTAAGTGATTTATGTTAAGCGATTTATGTTAAGAGAAATCTGTTCTTGGAATCGATTTCGATTTCGATTCTATTCCATGTTAATAACTAGTCTCCGGAAATCGATTTCGTTTCGCCGATTCGAATTCTCAAAAAGTGAGCTCGGAAAGCTCCGAAAATACTAGCAAATAATTCGATATAAAATAGTTCCTTTTTGGTTCCAGGTGGAACTAAGTGACAGCTTGAGCTCCAGGGTGTAATATATCACACTGTTCTTCACGTAGGCCTGTGTAGAAATAGTACCAGAAAAAGGCTGTCACGCGATAGATAACACCACAACCTCGTATGTTTATTAACAACTCGAAGAGTGGCATGAGTTGAATCGTATGGTACGTACGTACGCACGGGAAGTAATGGTAGTACAAAGTACAACAAACAGTATTTTTAAAAAATAACTTCGACTGCTTGGGAGATATGTACGATACCGGTACGAGTACTTGTACTTATGTTACGTAGCGTTTTCCAATGAAAGTTCTGTGTCTGACCGTATCCCGTTTACCGTTTACTTCTTACCTCTTTCACCACTTACTCAAACATTTTCACGCAGTCTTATTCTTGGCAGAGCTACCTCCTCGTACGGTAGGCAAAAACGTTCCGGTAACCTCTCTCTTGTACCATCGTCCTTCTTAGGTGATCCGCAATCTAGTATATTGTACCGAGAACCACCATCGTCTCGAAGGACTACTATCGTTGTCGCCGACTCCAAGTATAGATAAGAATTATATCGTAGAGCTTTTTCCACCATGGTCAAGCACAACAATGTCATCCCCAATATCCATTGCCACAAGAAGTGGGCTGCCTCTTCTCGTGGACCCCTCAAGATCCGTTTGGCATTGAACGAGGCCCCACGAAAGAAGGCCCGCCGATTGGCACGTGCTAAGAAGGCCGCCGCTGCTTTCCCTGCCCCTGTCCAAAAGCTTCGACCTATTGTCCAGTGCCAGACCCAAAAGTACTCTGCCAAGCAAAAATTGGGAAAAGGATTCACTTTGGAAGAGCTCAAGGCTGCCGGATTAAACGCCCGTTACGCCCGAACGATCGGAATTGCTGTCGACCACCGCAGAACCAACAAGTCCGAAGAATCTTTGGAATTGAACACACAGCGTCTTAAGACATACCTTGCTGGACTTGTTATCCTCAAGAAGGGACAAGACGCCAGTGGATTGAGCCAATTCAAGGGAACCATCCAACCCCTCGACCACTCCAAGGGAGAAATCGAGATGGCCGATGTTACAGATGAGCTCAAGTCCTTCAAAGCCTACACAACCATGCGACTTGCCAAGAAAGAAACCAAGGTTGCCGGATTCCGTGTTGCTGTTGCCAACAGAAAGGAAAAGAAATAGATTTTTAAGCAAAATAGTTCCAATTCCCCCCTCGAATACTCTGTTTTCA